AAGATGAGGGTTCTACTAAATGGTTTTCCTTCTCCCTAAAGAGATTTATCACCTTGACTCAAAGACCCTGACTTCCAAACCAAGGCCGGAGTGGGTGGATCTCTGAGAATTGTGAGGATGGTTAATGAAGAGATGGAGAGAGGACCATTATCCAGCTGAACCCCTTTTATTGACGCTTATTGTAGATAAATATTTATGTCTTGACTAAATACAATCAGGGAGTAAGAAGGGAAGAAATAACGACCATGCAGGAGGGGAGGAGAATGGACCAAGAGGAGGTGAAGACTAAGTTACCTCAAAGCAAGCATGGAACAGAATGAAGGGAAGGAGGGAGTTGTTGAGGAAAGAGGTGCCTGCTGGCAAAAGAGGAATCATCTCATCATGCAGTTCACGTGTGAGCAGTGGGAGAGCCATTCATAGAGGGGACATCTTATTTCTAGCTCATTTTCCTTAATGTTCCCCCTGCCACTGTCAGGCTGCTGTTCCAGAGTGACTTCTCACCAAATGGCTAGTCAAGCTTAGAAATAACTCGCGATGTAAATTAATACTTCTCTGGAAAGCACTGGTTTCACTAAGACTTAATTACCTAAATGCAGTAATTAATTTGCTCATCACATTATGCTCTCATGGAGTATGGAAATCTAAATAAATCCAGACCTCTTTCTTCCTTAGACACATTCCCACTGATTTCTTTTGTTTTGACATCAGGACCACTCCCTTCTGCCCCTGCTTCCTTCTCGTACCCCTCAGTACCTTGAGCCTTGGCATGTTGGGAATCTGTGTATCAGCCTCTGTCTCTGATAGCAGCGCTCCCACCTGCCAAGATATACATTTCAATGTACCTTTTCCTCTTTTCCCTTTCTAACCCGTCTTCAGTGCAGGCACACCTGAGTTTTCTTTCTCTTTCCTTTCTGCCACCCTCTCTCCTCCATTGCTCATCGAGGAAAGATTGAGCAGCCTGGCAGTGCTTGCTTTCTCAGAATTGATTGTGGCTGCCAGTTTGATCCAAACGCAGTGAGGATTAGTTGCCTGTAAACTGGAACAAGAAGAAATCTATCAACAAAGTGCCTGTTCTAATTCAAGTCAAAAGAATTCTGTGTCAGAGTCCAAATATGATGGTGGCCATGTGGGTTATCATAAGAAGACAATGTGATCTGCCATTCATCTGCCCTACACAACTGAATATTATGTCAGATGAAAATGGCCCAAGACAATGAAACTCCAGTTCAGTTCGCTCCATGATATCCGACCCTTCTTAAGCTTGGGTGCCTCCTTTTGAACAAGGCATCTTCATATATAATGTGATTAATATGAATATTTTGGATAGACTTGAATTAAATTTAGGACAATAAAGTCTGAGGATTGAGACCACTCATTTGTATCATGAAATATTTTTCCTCTTTTTTAGTTTAATCATTTTGGGGGGATCGTACAACTCTTATCACAATCCATCCATCCATCCATTGTGTCAAGCACATTTGTACATTTATTGTCATCATCATTCTCAAAATATTTTCTTTCTACTTGAGCCCTTGGTATCAGCTCCTCACCCTCCCCCCTTCTGAACCCTTGGTAATTTATAAAGTATTATTATTTTGTCAAGTCTTACACTGTCCGATGTCTCCATTCACCTACTTTTCTGTTGTCCGTCCTCCAGGGAGTAGGTTATATATAGATCCTTGTAATCGGTTCCCCCTTTCTACCCAACCTTCCCTCTACCCTCTGGTATCTCTACCCTCATTATTAGTCCTGAGGGGTTTATCTCTCCTGGATTCCCTGTGTTTCCAGCTCTGATGTGTACCGTGTACATCCTTGGGTCTAACCAGATTTGTAAGGTAGAATTGGGACCATGTTAGTGGGGAGGAGAAAGCATTAAAGAATTAGAGGAAAGTTGTATGTTTCCTCGGTGCTATACTACACGCCAACTTGCTCATCTCCTGCCCACAACCCTTCTGTAAGGGGATGTCCTGTTGCCTTCAGATGGGCTTTGGGTCTCCACTCTGTACTCCCCCTCATTCACAACAATATGTGTTTGTGTTCTTTGATGCCTGATACCTGATCCTATCGACATTTCATGATAACACAGGCTGGTCTGCTTCCTCCATGTGGGC